AAAATACGATATGCGTACTGAGAAGTGCACAGAACAAAACGGTCAGTGTGACAAAGAGAATACTTACATAACCAGTACTCGAATCTGAAAGTATTGATACTTGTCAGCATCTCAAAACCCCCCCATATCCTTTTCCCATCACAATCTCCTTCCTTCTTCCCAGTTAAACACCATCCTCATTTCTTGACAATCCTTTCCTTTAACCTGCATGCATCCCTAACAAGAGTTTAGTTTTGTCATCTAACTTTATGTAGACGATCATAGTATATGAAGTCTTTTCTATCTTATTTCTTTCACTCAACATAGGTTTAAAAAATTCATCCACATTGCAGCCTGTAGCTCTAGTTCATTCAATTTTATTGCTTGATAGTTTTCCCACTGTACGAATACACATAATTTATTTAATTTTTGACTCTTAATGGACATTTAGTTTGTTTTCAGTTTGTGCTAATGCAAATCATGGACAGGAATCCTGCTGTGCCGGCTATTCTGGTGCATTTACACAGGGCAGGGGTGAGGGCTGCTGGGTCCCAGGCTATTTATATACATTCAGTTGATGGAGAGTGCTAAATGCTTTCCAAAGTAGTTGTGTCGATTTATACTCCAGTATAAGCAGGGTAGAGGATTCCCATAGTACTCCAGGTCTACAATACCTGATACTACCACACTTTATGTATTTGTCAAACTGATTGGCATGTAGTTTCATTGGTTTTGACTCACTTTTCTCTTATTACTTAATGAAGTCGTACACTTTTCTGTGTTTACTGGCTGTTTGGATTTCCTTTTTTATGAGGTTTACGTCAACTACTGTTATTTTTAAATTATTATTATTTATTTATTTTTGGCTGAGTAGGGTCTTCATTGCTGCGTGCAGCCTTTCTCTAGTTGCGGTGAGCGGGGGCTACTCTTCATTGCAGTGGCTTCTCTTGTCATGGAGCACAGGATCTAGGCAGGCGGGCTTCAGTAGTTGTGGCACGTGGGCTCAGTAGTTGTGGCTCGCAGGCTCTAGAGCACAGGCTCTGTAGTTGTGGCGCACAGGCTTCGTTGCTCCGCGGCATTTGGGATCTTCCCGGACTAGGGCTCGAACCCATGTCCCCTGCCTTGGCAGGCAGATTATTAACCACTGAGACACCAGGGAGGTCCAACTATTGTTATTTTGAATTCTTCTCCATTTCCACGTAATACTCTTACATGATCATTTTCTGACTAAGCTGGAGGCATTATCTGTTCACTTTCTATTTTACTAAGTAAGGGTTTAGTTCCTTTACACTCTTCCTATGTCCACACTGCTCAGTAAAGTTATGTCATCATTAGTTATTCCACTGCTCATGATCTCTTTGACTTCTAGTGATATACTTAAAAACCTACATTGTTGATCAACTATAAACTCTCTCAACGTCACGCTTTGTAAAATGAGGACATTCATACCATCTTCCCTTTTTTCTACCTCCTGTCTACCTTCCAGACCTAGCTTTTACATTGTCAGAGTTGAAATTTATATTCTGTTCTATGTGCAGTTAAGTCTTCTGTTATTTGAGAGTCAGTAGGGAGTAAGGTTTAAGACAACAGGTAGAGAGCCTAAACTCAAAACCTCGATCCAACCCTAAATTAGGTACAGCCTGGGCAAGTTCCTACCCTGTCTTAGCTTCCTTTTCACAAAAGTGGGAATGATATTAGCACCAACCTCATAAGGCTATTCAGAGGATTAAATGAGTTAATATATGCAAAAACACTTAGAGCCTAATATATACTAAGTACATACTAGTACATTTCAGTACATACCAAGTTAATGCAAATACATACTAAGTATAGTTTAGGTTAGTTATTTGTTATTACATGCAAGTTGACAATAAAAGCTGCAAACCAAGACAGTATTGCCATTATTACAATGAAATTAATATTGCCCACTGCAGATGTACTGTCTCTGTGTATAGACTACACCTCGTTCCATACTGTGTCAGTGTCACTGCCCTTGTGCAGGGTGACCACATACCCCAAGCCGCCTTGGGCTGTTCCAGTTTATACCTGTTGTCCTGATGTTACAGCATTAGAGCGCCTCCTTACACTATTGAAGTGTAAGGAGTTTGGACAAGTTCTGGTTTGGACAACAAATTAGATAGGTGGTCATTACCCCCGTGTGTTGCTGAAAAGGGGGACATCTATAGTGTCAAGTTTAAGTGGATTCTTCTCTTCCTCACCAATAGTAGGTTAAAAATCAACCATAGCTTAGTTTGCTTCAGGTTTATGTCAGTATAGCCTTTTGTCCTCTGGAGTTCAAGTTCCTTCTCCTCTTCCTCTCCCTCCTCCCTTCCAACAGTGCCTAATACCTAGTAAGTATGATATGCCTCAAGGTGTTTCTAAGCTCTCAATCACACAATCAATAGAAGCCTCTCCAATCTAGACTAGCTGCTCTCTGCACTGAATCCCCTATTACCTTCCTTCTTGGTTTATTGCCTCATTTTGCTGGGTTATTTCTATAAATAGCTTAAGGTGTAGCACAGGAGGTCAAATTTTCAAATTTCTTTGTGTACAAAATATCTTCTTCAGCCTCCACTTATGACTGATAGTTTGGCTGGATACAAACACCTAGGGTGAAAATTATGTGCCTGAAAAACTTTGGAGGTATCTTTCTAATGCCTTCCAGGATCCATGGTGCTGATGACAAGTATGATAAAATCAGATTTTAACTTTTTCTTTTTAGGTGACCAGTATTTTTCTCTCTGGAATGGATGTATCCTGTCAGTATTTTATTCTATGTTAAATTATTTTTTCAGTATTTTAAAGTTTCATAATGAAGGGTGCCTAGGTGTGAGTCTATTCTTGTTCATCATGTTCAAAACTTGAGTAACTATTTTCAATCAGAGGCCTGATGTCTACTTTAAGCTGTGGGGAATTTTGTTGCCCTTTGACAGCTTCCCTCCATTTTTTTTCTGGGTCTGGAGTTTCTAATAGTTACATGTTGCATCTCCCAGATGCAACCTCTTTAACATATTGCTATCACATTTTCCACTGTGTCTTTCTTTTTTATATAATGAGAAATTTTTTAGATTCCTACTGAAGTTATTTCAGCAACCATATTTTCATTTCCAAGAGAACTCTCTTGCTTTCTGACCATTCTCTTTTTAATTAACACCCTAGCCTTATTTTATAGTTGCTAGCTCTTTTTAAATTTCCCTCAGAATACTAATTAGGGTTTTTTCTTAAATTATTTTGTTCCCTAAATTGTCCCCGGTCCTACCAGGATACGTTTTCACACTTTTTCCTCTCTCTCATGTTGTAAGCTTTACTCAACTATCAGGCAAATGACAGTTATTTTCTATTTAAGAATGAGCGCAGAAAGCTCCCTGAAGTCAACGATTGACTGGTTTTCTTATGCAGGAAGAAGCGGGGAGTAACTGTAATAGGATCTCCCCCAAACACAATTTTCTAGGGTGTTAAAAACTCACACTAGCTGCCCTAGTTCTCGCCAGTTTCACTGTTTTCAAAATGAAATCATCTCATTTCAGGAGAGTGAGGGCGGGGCTGGGAGTCCACTCCTCCAAACACAACCCTTCAATGAGCTCCCCTATTTCAGTCACACTTTTAACTAACTCCACCCTCTCTCCTACATGCGCATCTGAGCATGGGGCTACTTCTGCAGGTGGGGTCAGAATCCTCCTCAGTTGCAGGTGGTCCCTGTGCATATTCTAGGTGATGCTTTTCCTCTGTCCTACTGCCTCAGTTTCACACTCTTACACTTGTCTTCCGTCTTTCAAAACTATGTTGAAATCCCTTGATTGTTGTGGGCTTATATACTTAAACACTTTGATACCATCCTTGTAGTGTCTTGTCAAAATGGAGAAGAGCTGAAAGGGTTCTCAGTGCATTCTGAATCTGCTATTCTGTGGTCCCAGTGTGTAAACTTCTTGGTCCTCCCCAGTGTCTATCATTACTATTAGAAATACAATCTCTTGGTCTACTCATGAAGGAAATGAATACAACACATCTAAAATGACAAGGAATGCGGGTTAGATGCTCTAGGGTCTTGTCGTACTCTGCCATTTACTAATAAACCACTTACGTGCTACAAATTGTAGGTGCTCATTTATAAAATGAAAGAGGGTAACACTACATGAACTATAGATTTCTCCTACTCTAACATTTCATAATTTTCTAAGTTTTTTTCTTAAAATTTCTCTATATTATCATTAATTTTAATTAAAAAATAAAAATCTAACTTTCTCTTTTGAAAATCAAAGAGTTAATTCCCATAGTCCTACAATAATGGGATAATTAGTTCTGAAACCGGTCAAGTTTCATACGAAAAGAAAATCATATTAAATAATTTTTAAAAATTAAACATGGGACTTTGTAGCACAAAGACAAGGTCCCCCCCAAATGGTGTTCCTTTATTTACTAGAAATGTTCAGCTCTTCATTAAAGTTGAAATAAAATAAATATATTATATTTTAGGTGCAAAAATTTCTTACGAAAATCAATTTTTCTTTTCTGTCCATACAAACAAAAGTATGGAATGACAATAGAGGTCAGGTTTATTTGGTAATAGAATGTAGCTTCTTGATATTTTTTATTTTAGGAAAGGAGAATATCGACATCAAAACTTTTTTCAACTTTACTTTTATTTAAAATGAGGCCATATTTTCCTCTTGTAAAAAGAGAGTTCAACTAGAACTGTCAATTTTCTCATCTGTAAAACAAGAGCACTGAATCAGCTGACTATATTCATTCAGAACTCAATTTCTTTATCTTATGATCACTAAGGTTCTCCCTAAATCTAATATACTAAGGTTCTAAGGAAAGGAAAATATATTACTAACGACATGTTTTGATTTTTATTTCTTAGAGTTCAAATGTCCACCATTCACCTTGGTCTAAGGTTAACCATTCAAGGGGATACAATGCAGATGGGAGTAGAAAACAGAACCCTCACACAAGCTGTGCAGTGTTGCAATCAGGCTTCCGTTTGAAAAATAATCTTCTCTATAGCTTTAAAGTGATACCTTTGTACCGGCAATGCTTCTTGTTTCAAATGGATTTTCTCTGGCTCTTCCTGAACACTTTCTGAGGAATCATCGACCTCTTCAATTTCTGAGGAGGAAGGACTCTCTACTGTCACAGTCACAGGAAATTCTCATGGACCTGAGTGTCACAAGAAGAAGATAGGAAACCACAGAGTTGTTAAACTATAGTGCAAAGAAAGAAGACAAGATTGTATAAAAGACAACACAAGCCAGATACCAAATATGCAAATATTAGAGGACATTTAACAAAAGTGATCTGAGGTATCATTATTTATAAACGTCTCTCACTGCTCCTTAGTCTAAAACAGGCAATGACTAATTAAAAGTACAGTAACTTATTTTTGCTATGTTACTGTACAGACCTCTGTTGTACATGGTTAGGATTAGTAATGGGAATTGCCCATATTATTTTATTAAGTTTCTTTCACAGAAGCCAAGGGAAGATCCAAGGTAACCATTTTTTCTCAGATCAACTTTTGACTGCAAATGAAAAATTTATTTTTCGCTATCAGACAAAAACAGTCTGGAAGAAAATGTAGTTTTTCAGAGGAAAATACATCAGTAAAGGGACTGATAAAGAATCAGAAGAATAATCAGAAAGTCAACATATCTAAGCTGTGTATAAAACAGATGTTAGAATTTAAAAAAGTAAATAACATACACATACATAACTAAAACTGACCCATCAAAAATTTCATCTTCTCATCACCCTTAAGCCAAAACTAGGGTAACAGTAATACAATTCTCCTGTCAAGCTTCACTGTCACTGCAATGTTATTCAGTTGGACATTTCCAAACATTTAAAACCTGACCTGGCCACAACCCCATAAAAGTCTACAGATCATAAAGAAGTGTGCTGGGATTATGTAACTATGCAGAAGACAAGTCACTAGGACATCATTTTGACAACAAGCTGCAAACCTGCAGCATAGGAAAATCCCAACAGGAGAACAAGGCGCACATCCTTCTCTCTGGGCATGCAAGGGCAGGACTGACACCCAAGATGCTCTTCTCTCAACCTCAGCAGAGGTGCCTCTCACAGAGCAACTATGCAGTCTCCCAGAACCACTGGGAAGGAGAATCTGATACTGACAGTATTAGCTTGCCATGCGGCCAGAAGCGAGGGAATGTGTGTGGCCTGGTGAGACAGCAGAGGTTTGGGAGATGTTGCTTTATATTGGCTTTCAGATCAGGAATTTGTACATATAGCCCATAAACAACATTTCTTGAAAACATATGAACATTCTTGAGTATGACAGCTCCATGTGAGGGGTCAGAAATGGCAGTAAAGTTCATTTTACTGGCTAACAGCTGATTTGCAGACTGGAGAACAGGCTTTCTTGTTTACATACAACCACAAGGCTGCCAGTCGTGTGCCAAATCCACACAACTACACAGTTGCATTGGGAGAGCGAACAAACATGTTTTACATGGATTTATTTCAGAGAGGGAAGTGCTTCTTGTAAGGCTCTGTCAGTTTAAAAAGCAAGAAGAATGACCATCCACCTTTCCCAATTCAAGCCCTATATATCATAAATATAGCTACACACCAGCAACTGATTACATACATCACGAGCTTTGATGAATGGAAAGCCCCTAAAAAAGATATCAACAAAACGAAGCTAGATATTGATGTAAATACATCACCAGTTAAACCCAGTTAATACTATTTAGTATTATGTACAGTATCCACACAGAATTGTGTATAAAAATAAATAAGCTCAAAAGAAGGACCTGGAAGGCTCTGCTATGGAGAAAACTGAACAGAATTCAGCTGACTGGCTTGGTAATAACTCTCTGAACTGCTGAGAGGCCCCTTCAGTTCCTATGTTCAGTATGGTTGAGATTTCAGTCTCACTTCTGTAAATGGTGATATTAATCGTTCTCTAATTTACCACTCTGTGTGACGAGGATGGACCTGAGATTAAGTGTCTCAGGAAGAAGATAGAAAACCACAGAGTTGTTAAACTCAAGTGCAAAGACTGGGGATTCAACACTATACTTTATGCAACAGCAATTCACATTACCATTTGGTCAGATTCTTTCAACAAAAGAAAAGATGCACTCACATGTATTAAAAGACAAATTTAACTGCCATCTGTATCAATATGTTAATGTGCTCCAATCACATGTTTTCATGAAAGTTTAAACATAAAATCACCTTTAAGATCTAGGCCATGTGATCTGTTCCCTGCCATGTCAGATTATACCCCGTGAAGTTTACTGTCTTAAGAGTGATAGAGTTCTTTATACCTTGACAAATAACTAAAAGGAAAATAAAAACCCACACACACAATAAGATGAAGAGCCTATACATTTGTCAATCTTGATTTATTTGCTTTTCTTGAGTCAATTGGAGGTTTATAGCCACATTCTTAAAATCATTAACTGCAATCTTCCCAAACAGGTAATTGATGAACTGATGCATTCTAAAACTTGTCAGTAACGAAGTGTTATTCCAGTTTACAGCAACAGTTTAATTCTATTTCGGTACTAAAACTGAATACACTGAATACTGCAAACTTTATTCCCAACCACTCAGTAAAGTACTACATACATTTGAGACAAAGGGGAAAAAAAGAAAAACCTAAAAAGCCTAAGACTCTTCTGATTTTCATTTCCAATGATACATGCCAATCTTGATGATCAATCAGCGACTTAAATGTCAACTATAAACCCAGTATTTTATTAGCTGCTATGCAGTATACTAGAGCAATAGAAGAGAGAGGACCTCAAACCCTCTGTTCCCTCAAATTGAAAGGCAGGCTTCCTGACCCCTCCAGACCACTACTGGACACAGGGAACACACACTAATGTTTCAGGACCCCAATCAAGAGTCACCTGCTTTGTGATTACTTCCATGACACACCCTCACCAACACCATTGAATTTGCTGCTCCTACGGGACGTTACATATATTTCCTATTTTAACACATACCACAGTGCAGTATAATTATGATTGCAGATACATGTTCTAACAATTTAAAGATCATGATGACTTTTTTGCTCTTTATATCTTGCTATTTCCCTTCCCATATTTCTTGAAGAGAAACCATAAAAATATAAACAAACACAAAAAACAGAAAATATACAAAACATGTGGTTTATGGCTTAACACAGACTTAAGTAAGATTAATTCTGACAGTATCCAGCATGACAAACTTCCATGGTACAAATGAGAATGGACCAAGGTTTGAGCAGGTATAGGAGACAATCCAGGCATGAACAACACCAAGAAAAGGTAGACAGGAAGTAACGTGGTGTGTAGGAAATCACGAGACCAGTCTGATGGGAAGAGACTTAAACAAGACTGAAACTCACTTTCTAAACCTCCATCTCCAATTGGACAATTCGCAAGACACAGGTGCCCCAAAGTGGCCGATTTATTCAATCCCTTTAATGGGGAGGAACAGTTTAAAATTTTACCCCTTTAGTTTGCCCCAAAAGCAACTATCAAATGTTGGCAGGACACAATGAAGGCTTACCTTTGTTAACATAGTTACGTCTCTTTCTCTCACAACTAGCCCACTTAGTTCCAGGTTCCTTAGCGCACCTGACGCACTTACACAGCGTCTAAGAGCTTTACACAACTGGAAGGTCACATCTTTATTTCTTATTGCAGGAACACAACTTCTGGAAACTTTATTTCTGTCAGAACCTAAAGCAAAATTATTGTAAAATGAGTGATATAAACCATACATTTTATCACCGTTAAACAACTAAAAAGAAAAAAAGCGTCTGCTCTGTGCTAAGGATTAGAAACCACTCCTGCCCTTAAAGCCTCATTAAGGAGGGACATGTGTAAACTCAAAATTTCAATCACATGAGATAAAGAACCATAACCTTTATGCACAGAGGTTCCTATGGAAGCTAAAAGTTATGTCTGACGGCTTCATGATAACCCTGAAGTACAATCGAGAAAGATGAGGCTATGCAGAGTTGGAGGAGGAGGTGCATTAACTGCAGAGGGAGCACCTTTGCAAAGACACTCAAGCCTGACTCCTGCTGGGCACTGCAGGTGGGGATGACTAAAGGCCAGGGGTCCAAGTGTGAGAAGGGACAGAAAATAGAGATGTTGGTCGAATCAAGCCTGGGAGAGAGCATGGCTTGTATCCCACAGGTGATGAGGTCCGGGGCTACCACTGGCTGAGTAAGGGTGCCTCCACTGATTAGCAAAAGGCACCCCGCTGCTGAAGGACCAGTTAGATAAAGGGAGTGATCACAAAAAGCTCCCCTTCCTCAGGGCCAAAGAGCCCCAGGAGGCTTGGTAGAGCACAGTTCAGACTACACGCCTCTGGGCAGAGCACACGCTGGGCGGCTAATATGCACTAACTCTGTGTGGGCAAGCCATTAGCAGCATTATTTTAGGCGTTATCTTTTCATGTTAGAAGATCACTCAACCCCAGTAGGCAGATGAACTTAGAGGAACTGAGTCCAGGGGCCGCGAAACCACCCAGGAGCTTCTGCCATAGTCCGGGCAAAATGCAATGTGGATGAAGAAGCAAATTTAGGAGGAGGCCAAAATCTACAAGCTGGACCCACTGGATGCAAGACATGAGGAAAGTTCAGTGAAGGAACTCTGAAGAGAATGGGCTCTGCAATAAATTTTTCTTACAATCAATGTAAAATATTAGGCAAAATTAAGTACAGTGGCCTTCCAGCTCTAATTTCTTTTGATTTCTAACTTATTACTCTGGTTAAGTAAAGTCCCTTCAGAGGTGCGGAACAGTTCCTACACCTGAATGGGATGCAAAGAAAAATCTAATTTCTCTTCACCAGGGGATGAGTTGAACTGTTCTTACAGAAGAGATGACACATGGTGTGAACCCCAGATCCTAGAAAAGGGCCAGGCTCACGATAAGTATTCAACTTTTTGAAAACAAATGAACAATCATTTCCTCTCCTAGATCTTAATACCCTTTCTCTGCTGGCTACTTTCTTTCAGCTTATAAACATCCTCAATATACTCACTTTAAAAGCCCTCAGACCTATGATTCTTTGGATCTTCTTGTGGGTAACCTAAGTATCTCCCATGCCTTCAAATACCTGTCCTCCCAAAAAGCTCAGATCTGTACCTTGGGCCCAGACCTGTCTACCAGGCCCCTCTAAAGCACTGAAGATGAAGTAAGATCCTCTCCCCACCCCCAATCCCTTTCCTACTGTGCTCTGTATCTCACAAAAAGATGCAGCTGTAAACCGTCACCCACACTTGGCTGCCCTTCCTTTTCTAACTGGTCACCAGGCCCCACCCATTCTCTCTCAGATCTGCAAAATCCATTTCAACCTTTTATAACTTAAGTGGGACCCTTAGATTACAATTCACCCTGCACCCAATCAAGTGCCTTCCACATGGAGGTCTGAGTGAGTCTCTAAACCAGAAGTCCATCTCACTGTTCTTTAGGGTTTCCCACAGCCTTTAGGATAAACATCTAAACTTCTGACAGGACAAACAAGGCCCCTTTCTGTTGGGCCCCACTAGGTTTCCAGTATCAACTCTCATTTCTTTCCCAAACACTGAGTTCCAGTCCTGTATCTTAGTTTTGCCATATTTTCTTATATTTCTCCAACTTTGACACACACTGCTCCCTCCTGCCACCCCAGGAGCTTCTACATATCCTTAGAAAGGATGGCACCTCCTCCAAGAAGCCTACCCTGAACTTTCCCTTCCAAGATTCTGTGCTCTGCAAAGGGGAAACATGGTGGGGAGGGATAAGTTAGGAATTTGGGATTAACATATACACACGACTGTATATAAAATAGGTAATCAACAAGGACGTACTGCATAGCACAAGGAACTCTACTCCATATCCTGTAACAACCTGTATGGGAAAAGAATCTGAAAAAGAATGGATATATGTATAATGGAATCACTTTGCTGTACACCTGAAACTAACACAATATTGTAAATCAACTATGCTCCAATATAAAATAAAAATTAAATTAAAAAAAACAAGATTCTGTTCTCTGTAACACCAGAACTCACTTCTTCCCTAGCACTGACTACTGTGCTTGTGTTTACTTGCCGCCCAGTAGAAGGGGACATTACCTAGGGCAGAAGCATCCTCTCCAGCAGCGCTTGGTTCTGACAACTCATTCAAGTGCCAGGATACTCTACACACATAACCTGCTTAATTAATTCTAAGAACCCACAGAAAGGGTGGTTTTTAATGTCATTTTACAAGTGTGGGGATTGTAGTGCAAAAGAAACCTGCCCAGGCCACAGAGAGCATAAACTCTGGAATTCAAACCCTAAGCTGCCTTCACACCAGTGCTCTTTCCACTGTATGATAGGACTATTGAAAAAAAATTTTTTTTTCCTGAGCCCTGTTTTAATGAAAAGGAAATGAAGCTGGGATATATCAATTTCCTAATTGCTTTGGCGTGTACCAGGCAAAGTCATTCAACAGACCAGGTAATATCTGTGGAACAATGAACAATGCTCCAAACTGTGCTAAGTGTTCTACATTGTAGAGTCTATAAGCATTAACAGAGTGCGACCTTGTAACTGCCACAGAGAGTGACCTTGTAACCGCCACAGAGAGTGAGTCCTGTTAAGCCCATGCTACAGATGAGAACACTGAGACCTAGAAGCCTTAAGGCACTCAGCCAGGATCACCGAGCCGGCAGGAGTCCTAGGCCACATGCCCCGTCTAGTGCACGCACACCTGGGCACTGGGCACCGGTTCTAGTGCCCACCCTCCACTTTGTACCATCTAAAACTCTGCTTTGCAGCGCCGACACGAGAGCCCCTGGAAGTGGAAAGTACAAACCCGTATCGCCAAGCCATGGCTGGAAGAAGCTCTGGATACAGATCGGGGGCAGAGGGTGCTCAGGGGCGGCGCCCAGTCCACCCTGCGCAGGTGGTGGGTGTTGAAGTCCGGCAGGCCCTCCCACAGGGAGGCGCCCACGGCGGGCAGAGGCACCGAATCCTGCAATGCACACAGGTCCTCACAGCGCCAGAAAAATGTCGGCTGTGCTGTCGCGGCACAGCTTCACTCAGTGATGATGGGCCGAGCGTGGCCTCGGGGACGCTGGCTGCACACAGGATGCCCACACACGCCTGGAAGACCCGGCTAGCCTCCTGGCCCCTCAGGCGGCCATCTCAGTCCAGGGAGTGGTAATAAGGATCAAAGTGGTAAAGGTCTTGCATTCTTCTTCTTGCATTATTTCAAAACCGGCATCGCTGGCGTCAGGCAGTCCGGTAACTGGGTCCGGCGGACCGGTAATTGGGTTCATTTGCCTCTGCCTTATCTGGCTGCCATCTGCTTCCTGAAATGCAAACAGCTACACAGGGTGATTTGCTACAAGACAGTGCAGGGAGCTTAAGCACCAGATGCAGGATGTAATTTACACTGACAGCTAGGGAGTGATAGGAACAGGATGTAATTTAGCTTTGTGAAACTTAGGTCTAGTTACAGACAGTACAAATCAGTAACAGTTTAAATAAAACTAGGATCGATTAACCCTTTCAGGCCAGTTTATGTGTCTTCTCTAGCCTGTTCACTGTCCCCTTTACTTTCCTTATTTTCTGGAGAGGAAAAACTTCATTTCTATTTTTGCTGCAACACTATTATGCTTAGTGAAATAAGTCAAACAGAGAAAGACAAATACGGGATGTTATCACTCGCATGTGGAATCTAAAAAATAAACAATAAATGTAACAGAAAGGAAATGAACGCACAGATGTAGACATCAAAGCAGTGATTACCAGTGGGTAGAGGGAAGGGGGGAGGGGCAAGATAGGGGTAGGGGAGGGGATGAAGAGGCACAAACTACTATGCATAAAATAAATAAGCTATAAGGATAGCCAATGTTTTATAATAACTTTAAATGGAGTATAATCTATAAAAATATTGAATCACTGGGTTCTAATATATTGTTATTACAATATAATACTGTAAATCAACTATACTTCAATTTAAAAAATGATCACCACAGTACGTCTAGTTAACATCCATTACCATACATGGTAGAAATCTTTTTTTCTTGTGATGAGGACTTTTAAGATCTACTCTCTTAGCAAATTTTAAATATGCAATACGGTATTATTAACTATAGTCACATCCCCAGGACTTATTTATCACTGGCAGTTTGTACATATTGACCACCTTTACCCATTTCACCCACCCTCCACCCCCTGCCTCTATGAGCTTTTTTAAAAATTCCATATAAAGTGAGATCATACAGGATTTTTCTTTCTCTGTCTGACAGATGGGGAAGTGCCTTAAGTCCCCCACTTCGGATGACATCTCCCTGCCTCACAAGTCTCAGTCCGGCTGGGCTAGCTTTGGCAAAGGGACGGAGCTGGATCAGGAGCCGCTGCTGCCATATCTGGATCAAGTTCCAGTTTTGGTCTATCATCCAACACCTAGCCAGACTCGCCTAGCAACACAGCTGAGAGGAACAAAATAGGATAGCTCAAAAGAATAGGCCTCATACAGCATCAGCCTAAAGGAGTTTATGACCCTGGAAGAAACGGATCAGAAAAAAGAATCCGGGGGGCTTCCCTGGTGGTGCACTGGCTAAAGTCTCCGCACTCCCAATGCAGGGGGCCCGGGTTCGTTCCCTGGTCATGGAACTAGATCGCACACGCATGCTGCAACTAAGAGTTTGCATGCCATAACTAAGGAGCCCACCGCCTGCAACTAAGACCCAGCGCAACCAAAAAAAAAAAAATCAATCAATAAAATAAAACAAATATTATAAAAAAAGATCCAGGAGTGTGTGATCTGTATGGTGGACTTTGTTTATGAGAACCCAATTTGATTTCTGCTGTGTATGCAGGTCACCTGGGCTGTACAGATGACTGGCTGATGAGATCCTTCACATGCCCCTCCTGCATGGAGACAGTTGATGCAGCACTGCTTTTGTCCCAGGAGACTAACTGAGCCAGTGTCTCTCACCTGACTTCAATAGAACCATCATTTTTGGTGGTTTTGATCTTTTGTCGTTGAGCCCAAAGAGCGGGGGATTAGGAATTAAGATCATGCATGAAAGTTTCCTAAAAATTCCTGAATGGCTTCAGATGTTGGGGAAAAGTATGTGATATTTTAGAAATTCAGGGGGAAAAGTAGGATGCTATTTTTATGTAAAGCCTTCGCCCAGTGTTTAAAAATATAATTGTATTTAGATCTTGTTATTGCTCCAGTACATAGGATTTGTGTAAAGTGTTACATTAGCTATAAATGTTTCAATTGTGTGTAGAAGATTAGGAGAAAGATACTGGTTGTTTTTCCTAAGTGAGATATCTTTCTTCTTCCCCATACCCAAATTCTTTACTGAAGTTGCTGGCATTTGGGTCAAGGTTTTATTTAAAGCTACATTTTATAACACTGGCACAAAAAAGGTAGTTTTAAGCTTTTTTGCATGGTTCTTTTTTTTTTTTTTAGAATAAACATAGAGCATTTATTTTTTACTTTATAGGAACTCCACAAGTTAAGGTCCCATTGTTTTTTTGCTGTGATTGTTGTTACTACTGATGTTGCTGTTTTCTGTCTTTGCTGGTTCTTTCTAATCTACCATTTGTCGTTATTGGCATACAGTCATCTCAGGGTCACAAGATAGCTGCTGTAAAACCAAGTATCATATTCTAACAAAACAAGGAGGAAGCAGAAAAAGAGTCCCAATGGTCATTTTCCTAATGCATATTTATCTTTTTTCAGAGAAAAATATCATTCTCATAAGCACAATAACAGCCTTCCCCTAATTACTCATTTGCCAAAACAGACTGATATGACCATTCATAAGACAATTCATGGCAAAGAGGGATATGATAATGATTGCCTCAGCCTAACAAGGATTTATCCACGAAAGCTGAATGCTTCACTCCTCAAAGAAATCAACACTTTTCTACATACAAAACACAAGTCTCTTGAAGGGTTCTTCATAAGTGCATTATAGAAGAATTTAGTATGTCATAAGCACTTAAGGATTTGACATTCAACTGTAGTAGTATCCATGTTGGTTAATTTTCTTACAAGCCCCATGATGAGTTTGAGAAAAACTGAAAGAATTACAGTATCAGGTTCTATTAAATCCTTACATGTATCTTGCTTAAGTTTTGGTTCATTAATTTATATCCAACTACATAAAGCAAATTTGGAGGAAAAATAAATAAATAAATAAATAAATTAGATTTAGGTCTCCAAATATTTTCATAGGAAGATGTCCACCATATATTAAATTATAAACCAGAATGTCTAAATACTATACCATTAAATCACATGTACAGTCAGTGCTGTATATCCAACGGTTCCATATCCTGCAGACATGGAAGGCCGACAATACTACACCATTTTACATACGGGAGTTGAGCATCCGAGGATTTTGGTATCTATGGGGAGTCCTAAAACCAATCCCCTGCAGATACCAAGGGACCATTGTATATGCTTATATCTGCATTTTTTACGTCTCAAAAAATATGTGCTAAATTATTACTGGTGGTCACCTCTGAGTAGGGGGCAAAATTGCCTTCCCTTCCACTTCCTACATTTCTCTGACTGCATTTGTTGCATTCAGCTTACATTACTACTGTAAACAGAACAATTTAAACATGGTCTGCCTCTTGGGGTTGGCAACTCACCTGCAGATGTGGTAGCCAGTCCTGTTTAAACCATGGGTACAGTGGACACCAGTAAGTCTGTCTATAAAACAGGGAATATGGAATTAAGTAAGCGAAGTAGATACACTAAAAACAAGTTATACAATTTTCTGAAGAGTAGCGTTTATTAGTTACCAAAACACGACCACTAACCTGAAAAGGAAAAACTCTGAAGAAAGAGTGTTTTTGCAGGAACGTACTATCAAGAATTAACTACTATAAAGTCAAAATTCATTGTCTCTGGGAAATTTTGCATAGCCTCCAATCAGATGCAATAGCGTGGACTGGAGAATGCCCATCAGGAACTGACCTGACTATAGAAAAAGGGAGTGGAAACACAAAAACAAAAACAGGCTACCAGAAGAATAGAATTTGTTTTTGAGTGAAACAAATGGAATGCCTTCAATTTTAATGCTCAATATTAAAAAGAACAAACGGTTTCTGAAGTGCTCTTGGGGTCCCAAAGCACTTCCATTCCTTCTCTCATTCACTGCTCCTCACATACTATGGGTCTATGTGCTTGTGGACTTCCCGGGTTAACTAGTATCGTTTTTATTTCACAATGAAAAAGTAAGGCTTGAGACGTAAGCCCAAGCTGCACAGCAGGCAAACAGAAAAAAGACTAGAATCGAGTCTCAGATTTTTCCAACTATGCCACAGTAATTCGTGGTCCAGCACTTAAAAAAAATTATATGAGAAAGTAAATATAAAACATCAACATGTAGCTGATCTCTGCAAAAGGTATGTCTGTGACTAGGTGGTGTCTGGCATTCGTCATCTGCCTGGATTACTACCGCCCTATAATTCTAACAGTCTCTTCTATTTCAACTGATCCTCCACATGGAAGATGTTATCTTTCTAAAATATAAACTAGGCTGGATTGCTCTGTTGCTTGAACATCTTCACTAAGCACAGAATAGAGCCCAGGTTGTTAGCACAGCATTGAGAACTCTTTATAAACAAATATCAGTCTGTCTCTCCAACTGAATTATAAGTTCAAACTATGACTTACAAGGACCTACATCATCCACCTCCCTCCTTTGCCCTGCCAGCCTCCCCTGATCTCATTCTCTACTGCCCTGCCCTCACTCACTTTCCCCTGTCCAGCCACACTGGCTTCCTTACTATTCCTCAAACATGCCAAGCACAGTCGTGCCTCAGGGACTTTGCACCTACTATTCCTTCTGCTTCAGAACACACCCTCCCACCCCATCTCCACTCTCCCAGAACACACCCTCCCACCCCATCTCCACTCTCCCAGAACACACCCTCCCACCCCATCTCCACTCTCCCAGATAGCCAATGGCTTGTTTCTCACTTCAAGGCTCTGCTCAATCGACATCTTAATAGAGGGGACTTCCCTCATCACCTACCACATTCCCTCACCTCTTCATCTTCTTTTGTTATTCTCCAAAGCATTTACCACCACTTGACACTCCATATATTGACTTATTTATTCATCTCTCTCCCCCACTAGAATGGAAAATACGTAAGGGCAAGAACTTTGTTCTCTTCCTACTTCCTAGAACAGTGCCTTCAACTTAGAAGGTATTATACAAATATTTGCTGAAAATGAATGTATGAATTCTTTGCCCTTTCACACTACCCTCTAGTCACACCAGAGGCTGCCCCTCCA